CCAATGTAGCAAGGGACGTTTCCCTAGCTCGGTCTTACCCGAGAAAATTGGCACTTTGCGGGGTCAGTCAACGAGCCAATATTGAAGGCGTCCCTGAACGAGGACATCAGCGGTAACACGCTCTGACACACGTTGCTGGTTGATGTAACGCGGGGCAAAGCAACATGTTGAGTTATGCAGGGACTGACACGTTCGATATGGCGGAAGAAACCATTGCAGAAACCGTTGACCCGAGCAAGACGAGCAATGCGTGTTTAATTGCTTCGTCAAAGTATTTTATGGCTTGAAGATGTATAAATCTACCACCCTGGTAGGTTAGGTCTGTTAGTCAAGTTGCTTTCATAAAGTGCAAACGCACTGCGAGTGGCGATCGCAATGCTACCAATTTGGTATAGGCAAAAAGTCGTGTATTCTGACCGACACTGATGCTGCTCATTTGCCGACTGTAATCAAATTATCACCTCACTGGGGCTGCTTGGGACGAGATCCATCAAAATTCAACGGAAAATGAGCGCGTCGTCCCCCCGGGGCAAGAGCATCGCTGTCCATGCAAGACCGTGAAATGAACAGGTATAGAGTCCTTGGAGGGTTAGGGGTCTAGTCCCGATATCACAGGGCTATAGAGTCTGGACGGAAGAAACTAAATTAATGATCACCCAAATGGACGGGGGGAGGGTAATCAGAACAGTAAGCGAGACATTTTTAAAGTCCATGTAAAAGGTCTGCACAGTACATATCCCTACAGTCAGACTGCCTGATTCGACGTGATGGCTCATGCACGAGCACAAAGACACATTCAGATTTAGAAATTATTTGTAGGCCTACCTTGCTTATCTCGGGCTTGGTAGAAGGTGTAAGCGAAAGATGTGCTTTCTGCACATTACTAAGCCGGGACGTGTTAAGAACTATCAGTAACTTAAAAAAAACCTGCCTTACAAAGAAACCCCAAATAATTCTTCTTTCTTGGAATTCATGCTTATTCGCATTTTTGCCAACCAGTTATTGTAATCATTTCATTTTTAGCTTTGGTGCAGTACGAGTCTTCATTTAGCATAAGGTATAGTCCTATACTACACACACGGATTGAATACCAGGTACCACGGTTTATAATGCATGAAACATGACAAGAGTGTTTCGCAAACTACAAATTCACTGACTTCCAAATTGTGACAGAATTAAGCAACGTCTGAGCACTGATTTGAGTGCAAGGCATTTAGTGAACCTTGAACATACTTCAACACAAGGAAAAGCCCAAGATGGACCCTTGGTACACCCCATCCGACTAACCACCGCTACTGAGGCCTGTGCAGCAAAATAGCCTGCAAGAACTGTGATGCTATTATATTTCCGTATAATGCAATACAGTATTCAAACGTAGTGAGGCTAGTCAGCGTTTGCACGCAGAAGGCTCGAACAAGCCTCACTTATAGGTTTGCCTACTGTATTGCATCATACGATAATATATTAGCATTAAAGTTAGAGCATGGCTATTTTGCTGCACAGGCCTTGCTTTTAAGTAGCAGTGGGCAGTTGGATTGGGTACTCGAATTCAGTTGCAAGATTAGGAAAGCATTTTCAGATCAGAAATGATCACTACGGATGGCACTATTCCCCAAGTTATTCCGTCGTATTTTTGGCGGGGACCATCACATCAAAATATTTTATTGTGCTACATTGATGACGCACATTTTGTTCACAAACAATATATTCCTTACGTTGATCTCTGGCAATTGCGCATTTTGTCTCAAGACAGACCATGACCCGTTTGTTTGCACTGGAATCAAGAAGAGCATGTTGATATTTGTTACAAACGTGAGCGTTTAACTGATTTGGTAAGATAACTCTTCGAATGAGGAGAAGATGACTAACATTTCCTCTGGTGGGCATGGACACGTAGATCATGTTTGACCGGGGAAAACACTCGAAGTGTTGGCCCGTAGTCTCCGGTCACCACACCAGTGATATGCAAACACAATACCTCGGATATGAGATTTGAGGGACTCGTTACTTCGCCACAAAAGCTCAGAAAAAAACTTGAAGAGACAGAGCCTTTGCATGCTTGATGAAATTGCTGTCCAAACAAAGATTCCGTCAGATGTGACTTATTTGTGCGCATACAGGGAAAACAATCGTCAGAGAGGAAAAAACACGAAGCTTTGGTCAACAAGGTTTTGGGTGTATCGCTACTTTGCCCTTGACTGTAGAATCTTATGGATGAAATTGTACGTCGCTCCAATGGCTTTGCTGATGAACACAAGGTTATTCTGGTGGTTAAATGCAGCAATAGGGCACTACATATCTTAGCATCTATTGTCGCGTGGCTTCTATCGCGATATCGTTGGACTGTCATCAGTTTCACATAAACTATTTTCCATGCAGGGCCAGCATTGTTTAAAAAACAACCTATGAAATCAGGTTCTGATTGCAAAACAGCTTTACATATTCATCTTTGGACGGATAGATTCACGCAAGGCTTTCGAAGCGGTAAGTTACATTTACCTTTATTTCAAATGAATTTATTCCTTGACGAATCAGGTTAATGGGTAAATAACTAGAACGTACTCCCCAGTTGAGATATAGCGACTGTTCCACGACAATCCACCAACAAAAAAAGTTCCAATCAGAGGACTCCATCAATAGTAGTCTAGTTCCTATTACACCATAGCTAGAAACAAGTAGAGACTGGTAGTATTGTAAGACCACCAGACCACCCGTACGCCTTTAATAGCAGGTTTATGTCAAAGCAGATAGCCCCATACCACGGCGACGGCGAAGCTTATGGTAACGCAATGCTCGCCTCAACAGGGACGAGTTGGTAAATCCATAGCACTGAGTAATGAATAGAGCTGAGCTGATCAAGCATCCTGGACGAATGGCACAATATCTGAACAAGTAATGGTTACTATGACTACCCTTGAGGTACAATTCAACGATATACATGAAATTAAAATTGTGTATCAAAAACAACCTGATGAAATCATGCATCACTCAAGGTTATCCGGATATTAAGAGCATTGTATTGACCTCTCTTTCTTTCTTTGAATCCCTGATTGACTACAAAAACATTCGGAAAGCCAGGTCATTGAAGGCTTCTACTGTTTTGTTATCAGATCGGGATAAGATATGTCTTGAATGAGTTTGTGGAAGTCAGCTAATATTTAAAAATGAAAGGGCATTACTGTCTGATCAAATGTGTCACAGTTCAAGGAACTCCAGAGTATGAAATGGGAATTGCAGAATCCGTTTACCTTCAGCTGGAGGACAGAATCTTCTTAAAAGAACAGCTCACAGAAAACGAGAAAATAGTTCAAGACAATTCTTCGACTCTGACTGGATAATACTAAAGCGATGCCTCAGATGCATCTTGCCATTATGCCCACAAGGTGAAGCTAATTTCTAGACTAATAATAGAACATGAGAGCTAAATCAAAATCCTTAACCACTATTACCACAACACCTTCCCCTTAAATTCAATATCCTTTCCCTCATCACTCATACTGCGCCGCACAAAGAACTAGCCCAGATATAATCTGCTATACAAACAGGTTTCAACAAAATGATACAGGGGGAAGCTGAAAAATGATCCTGATACCAGCTGAAAGGACCCATCATTGGGAGGTAGCAATCTCCGTCAGTGAGGATTAGGTGTCGCACTGAGGGTCCCCCGCATTGGTCAAAGCGGTCCCATCAGCCCTACGGCAGCCCTACTTTCGTCCTCAAAGACATGTGTCCGCTGTATTTAGGCGGTGTGTGCTGGGGCACTTGAGGATAACATTGGCACGATGATGAGGTCTGTCTTGCTGACGGCATTGGGGTCCCCGTCGTGGTCAGTTTGATCAAAGTGTCCAGTTACATGTGGGTACATTTTCTTTAATTCCTGCTAATCAGACCACTTTCATGATTTGTGTAGAAAATCTTTTTCGAGCACTGTACTTGCCTCGTACCAGTTCCGAAATTTAATTTTATTTAATTGTTTTTGCTCAATTACTGAAAAGTTTTAACCTGCATTTGCTACAAAATTACTGCTCAAAGTGTAATTAAACCCGACTCACCCTCCCCATTTTGGGAAGTAAAATTGGGACATATCTCCATTTAATCATTTGCATCTTATTTGCCCAAATCGTACGGCTCATTTTGATGCTTACGGTAAGCAGCTGTTTGCTACTCCTCTTTAAATATTTATCAAACCATAAATCCCCGTTTCGTGCATTTTTAGGTCAATTATTCATAGGGTATTCAAATCAAGCCCGTCTCCTGAAACATGGATTTCCGAATCTCATAACCGTGTCTTGAATTACACGTGCATGATGACGCAGTCACAGTCATGCTCTGACAGAGCCTGAAAGGTGCTACGGGCACGCCTCGATTTCTTGTTAGCTCCCACGGGTCACTTGTTGGGCGTCGACCCCATTGAAAATGCACGAGAACTGCAAGTGGATAGTTCGGCTGCAATCAAGACAATTCGACCTAATTTGGTATCTTGGTCAGGTACTAGTATGCCAACGCGTTGTTTGTGGGCGCCCATGTAGGCATGGGTACAGACCACAAGATTGTGCACTTATTATAAACATGAGTAGGATTTCTACAGAAATTATGGCTTTAGTTAATCAATTATCTTGACCCACTTATTACAATCAAATTTTGAAAAGGCAGTTTTGTTGAAACAGCAGTTGATCTGATTCTTTCCTTCGTCTGAAGTTTGTAAGCCAATTACCCCATCGACTGTTGCTAGTTACATCAATTACATCCTTAATTCAACGTATGTATAACCCTAGGAATCATCCTCAAAACAATCCAGTCGGTTGTCTATCAGCTCCTGGAACTCGGAATAATCACTGCCGCTCCAATCGGACCTATTTAAGAGAGCTTTCCACTGGAGTGTTGTGACCCTAAGTCACCAGCCCGCGGGGAACCTCAGGACGGCTTATTTGCGTATTCCGGCTCGTCAATGTGACATCTTGTACCCTGCAAAACAAACGTCAGAACATCCACCGCCCTACCTTTCACAGGAGCAGATCTGTTCAGACTGTTTCGCAAGCCGTGTGGAATCTTGGAAGTCAAATCTCGATTCATTCTGGGCAGTGGCATTAAGCAAGGCGTGTCGCAGGTGGCAATTCTCTATTTGAAAAGAAAACGTTTTAAGAGTTGAGCTTTCACGATGCAAGAAGTGCAATTTAATTCATTTATGTGCTCTGGGTTTTTTTGCACTTTACGATTTTCGAATTTGTAATCATTCTGCCTAAATCTATAATCTGAAGGTATATTCAAGGATATGTAATAACTAACGATTCGAATTAAACACAAGGATAGGGATACCTGGTTATTGTTTAAAGCAACAAACTGAGTGGACTCTGTTATACGATAGAGACTAACCAATGGATACTTCAATAACAGTTCAAATCGTTGAACGGAAGAGGTGCCTGCCCCCGTAGAGGTTTGAAAACGTTATCAATTGTTGACAAATATGGTTTATCACTATCTGTGTTATAAGGCCCGCGCCAAACAGCGCCTGCTGTCAAAAGCTACAACAGATGTAACTTTTATGCTCTGAGGGGAAAACGGGCAAAAAGATTAATTTGGAAGACTTTATTTGATAGCTGATCTTTTTCTACATCTCATTGTAATAGACATGAACCTGTCCATGATACCTGTAGTACGTGTATTTGTCTTGAAGCAACACTGAACGGATTTTTTTTTATAAAGAGCGTGTTTTTCCCGAGCCAATACAGACGCTTTTGTGCAACATCGACTCAACATTAGCTTCAGTCGACTGTCGGGCTGTTTCAGCCTCTGTCTTTCAATGCTACTCAATTCTTCCATTTGAAACAAAGCTGAAGCTTATGAAAATGTGGGTCGGTACTGCAGACAAGCCCGCCTGTGGCTCTCCAGAGTGAATCAAAGTTAGCGCTTCAAATGTGGGTGAGTTTGTTTCTGCATTCAATTGGGGACCTTGAACAATTGAGGACAATAAGGTCCCCGATTGACAGAGGGTCCCCGATTGACAACTGTGTACAAAACATATGAGTGGTCCTGTAAAAAAGTAAAGTACAAACAAAAGAGGAACAATAGGGGGTCCCCAGTTGCAGGCAAATACATACTTTATTGCGTGAGGAAGGGCCTCCGTTCCCCTCGGAACAGCTGCCTTGGTCGGCCCCACACGGAGCCAAAAGCTCACATGTTGACCTGCATTATCTGAGAAAAACTTTTCGGAAAGTGGCCTTTCGTTCTTTCGGGGGATGAGGTCGGCAGGGAGATAAAGTGATTGTGAGTTAACCCGATTCTTGGATTTGAACGCGGCACCCTATTGAATTTCTCGACCTATATTTTCTGTGATGACTTTACGTACAGTACAGGCAGACACAAAAGCAATACTCAAGACGCAAGGCTAAGGCTTTTCCCTTTTATACTTTATGTCAGACACTTATAATGCCCAGACGTCGCTAATGGCTGAATTTAATACTTCGAGGGTTTTTGCCATACTTTGTCCTGAGGGTACGAGCCTAGACAACCGGTGTTTGTTGTGTAAATGCGAAATGCTAGTCATGGCTGCCTTTCCCGACAGGGCCCAATTGAGAGTTTCGTGAACACAATAAGTGGTGGTGCGTTAATGGAAAAATGGTGATGACGACTGACTTGCATGATTCTTGGACGACAAAAGGCTTCTCGGGGGGATTCACAACATACGGGTGACACCCATATGTCACTTTCCTATAAAAAGAGACTCGTGCATGGAAAACGAATCCAATTTTGAAATTTTGATATCAGCTGGAAAGAATGTCTCAATAAGACACGGTTTTTGGATTTTGCTTTGATTGTAAGTTGATTGCTGTGCTCATAATCATGGATGTTTCTATGGACACCAATGTACCAGTCCATTAACGTGGAGAACACGAGACGGACAAAAATCAAGCCGCATCAGGTAAGGTTCACCGATTGACACATTAATAAGAAAGTCTTTAAGCGAAGATAACAAAGATTATTCTAACATCGGCTTAGAATACTCCCTTGGGTAGTTAATTTAAATTTTTTGATTTGAAATTGTAGCATTCGAAAATACTCTGAACCAACTTCCAAGTCTATATGGTTTTCTTTGAAGTCATCACTTTTGTCTTATTACAACGACAGTTTCACAGTAGTGAAAAGTTAATAACAATGGACGCGCGCTAAATTTAAATCTTGTGAATAATTCTGCCACAGATTTTCAAGCAAGAAATCACTTGCCCAGAAATATTGTTTCAACAATTATTCACCTAGGCCATCGCAGTCCTAGCTCACATGCGTGACAGTATAGAAACACAAAACGACTTTGAAACAGTCATGAGATAATACATTTCCCAAAAGGAACTTACAATTTCATCACAAGCACAAGACGGCCGTGATGCGATTGATTTTGCTCGAGTATCTCCTCAAGAAGGGTTGGGTTAATAACGCCACATTCCAAACGTCAAAAGCACTTATTCCACGCCCAGTTTCCAATTTATCATTTCATAAAATACTGGGGGCTTTCGTGTACAACATTCCGCATGTACGTTGTGCACAAGTCTTGCGCTCTGTAACACAACAGTTGGTAAGATCTGTGGGACATGTGATAAAAACCTTCGAAATGCATATGTCGATTTGATAACCGCCCAAAGACATACTTTTAAAATGCTTCGCTTGTTTCAACGTGCCAGTGTTATTCAACACAGTTTCAATGTTAAATCTATATCTCAACGTAATGTTATCATTTGACGTTGAGGTATAAGGCAAAGTCAAAGTAACAGTGTTTAAACATTGCTGTGGTTTTAAATCTCGCTTTTTCTTACGGGATAGTAAATAAACGCAGCCAAGGTCGTTTTTCAAATGCTTGAAAAGACTTGAAGTAGCGTCGTTATTTGGACAACAATTATAAATCCATTTTGATGTGAGGGCATAAAGCGTGTAATTCGCTTTATGCGTTGACTCTATGACGCACCCCTCTTTGCATCCCAATTGTTAAAATGTCGATTCGTGTTGCACTTAATGCAAGAATTTCAGCAATAATTGCGTGCAATTTATTAGATAACTGTCGCAGACGATCTAATGGGCTGCAATCATTCGCTCTGGGCGACAAAAAACGGACGCTGTGGGCTCTGACACTGATTTCTTCTAAGTCATCCCTCTGTGTCAAGCTCCCAAGCGTTACCAGCCTTTCACATCTCAGTGACTTTCCGAACATAAATGTCACTTCCTGAAAGTCTCTGGAGGGAGTGACAACCACAACGCCACAAATATTTCAAATTAAACCTTAGTAAGCTTGGCTGTGTTTACTCCTGTGGCGTGAGTCTATGCTGGAAGGCAATCTCTCACCCAGTCCAACTTTAATAATGACCCATCAGTACGGTTTACTGTAACTGCAAACGATGTAAACATCATGATGCTGCATGGCGAGTATGGCATGAACAAGTCCGCCGATTATAAAGAAAGGCATGGCATTTGGCTTTTCGGGTTACTATTATGAAGGTACTCACAGAAAAGTGGTCGAGACATCGAACTGATATCTTAACAAAACTTCACACATGACAGAGTGACCTCGCGGATCTAGGTGGCGGCTACAAAGTCCTAGAGCGCAAATAATTACAGCCCCTTCATTTTCGCAATATTTCGATAGTCTTAGATTCACAACCTGGCCCAATTATAAACATTTTATTTGTTGAAATACAAATTCTCCAAAGATGTTCACAAAGACGGAAACAGCAAACTCGACAGAAATACATAATGGTTGCTCGGTGTCAAGTTTAGACGTATAGTCAAGAATACGATATGGACATTACATCGATTAATAAATTAACCCTCTTCCGAAATTTCATACGTGTAACTGTATCCGACTGGTTGTAGTGGTTGGTATCAAACTCGAAACGAACCAGCTATCCTTTTCGACGAATTCAACTGATAAAATAATACTCGCTAGCAAAGTGTATCCTTGAAATGAAAGCCGATCGGCACTCTCTCGATGACAACATTTCGGGAATATTTTCTTCATGGGAGCTCAGTTAAGATCTATAAATAATGAACTACATTCCACGCTTTACAAGACAGTGTTAAATATGAGCATAACATTCTTGTTACTAATATTAGTTGTCTTTTGATACCAATGTAGGTTAAGGTAACTATTGGCTCAGCGAGTAGTTTACGCCTAAATAAACTGTTATAAATAAATCGACTGTATGACTCGTAACAAAAACAACTTTAAGGCTAACCTTCTTGTAATTTGAGGATTATTCTCAATTCACAGATTACTGTTTATTGATGTTTCACCAAATTATTTTAGGGGATTCCGTTAAGAATAGCCTAAGAAACTTTAATCCTAAATTTAAACAGAAATTTGAAATTTAAAATGGGCCTGATATTTTGGTTACTTTTCTGCAAAAGAAACTATTTTTCCAACTGATGAATCTGAAGGGCTTGTCTTTAAGATTTAAAGATCCCTCGTCACTCACAAACAAGACCTATTCACAGCATGAAAAGCCTCTTTTTGTTCTAAAGTTAGCCTTAAATTCTGAAACGAACCCTAATCTGCTCTGACGCTTTTGGGCTTAGCCCGTATTCACGAACTGATAAAGGAAATCGTCACATTTTGTTGCAAAAGTGACGCATGTTGTCTTTCTCAGCCACAAAAATAATCCTAACGACCAAGAGCGGTGATTGCTCAAATTCAACAGAGCCACATCTCCAAATTCCACGCATCCTTCTCCCCGTGCGGTCCGCAGTGGAGAATTTCAAAGTGACTCTGATTGGATGGGATTCGCATTCCTCCCTTGTACGTTTCTAGCCCCAACTCCTTGAATGAAAGATATAGGTCACGATGTTTTACTGAGAACTCTTATCTCAGCAGGCGGTAGATGAATCCTGAAGAGTCCGCCAGCAGTGGGCGAGCAGCGTGGTATAAACTGTCGCCAATATTGAAAAATAAGACTCCGTAGGAGAAAAACGTCTGTCTGCGTGCGGCTTCAATGGTATTCAGAGGCATTGGGTGAAAAGATGGCTTGGTAATGGATCTGAAATCCTTACAAATCCAGTAGTTGCATTGTTTGGCAGTAATGACTAATACAAGCTAGAATTTAACATACCAATTACGCTGAGCAGGGGAAAATACCAGT